CTCCAAACGTCAAATCATTATTAGCGTGATCGCTATAAGCGTGTTTTACTGTATTTCGAATATATTTCTAAATGAAAAAAAAAATCAGATAGTTTGAGGACAGTAAGTACCGAAAACTCATATTATTTTATTCAGAATTTTATGAGGCATAATTATATCCATTGCCCTTGAAATTGCACTTTTTGATTTACTTGAGAGAGTCCGATATTTTAACAAAAGACAACATGTTTATTACCACTGAAGCAATTCTTTCAAGAATTATTTCTTTCTTGCTTGAAATAAAACTACTCAGTATTTTTTTTAATCAGCTACGCAGTTGTAGTTATTTGTAGGGATATAATTGTTTGGAATGGAGAGGTGCGGCCGAAATTTTCGGTTGTCAAAACATGCATAAAGCTTAAAGTAATGCACTGGATTATGATACAAACAGTATAGTGTATGATGTTTTGGGGAATGAAAAGGAAAATGCAGATTGTAACTTTGATTTGAACTGATCAATCATAGAAAATAAAGCAGATGCTGAAGATGTATTAATTTCTAATGACAGACATTGAGTATAACTTTATAAAGGATTGCATGTGTAATGGATACTAAATTTTGTAAATTGAAACCAGAAGTAGATCTTTCCTGTGATTAAAATGACAGATTGAACAGCCTACTCTGTTTTATAAATATTCAATAGTTTCAAGCCAGATAAGGGAATTCCTGACTTTTAGCACTAAATGAAAACGTCGCTTAAAGTTAAACATTACAAGTTAGTAGTAGTAGTAGTAGTAAATTTTATTTATAGTCGGACTATATACATTTAACAAAAAAAACATGAGCTTTAAAGCTCTTTTACAGACTAGTATAACATAGAAACACATTTAACACAAATAAAATGTACAAATACATATAAGAGAAAACATGCTTAAATTTGACATAGACAGAAGCACATAAAACACAAGAATGGAACAAAAGACACTGGTAAACACACATAAAAAAGACATAAGACATGACATAAGAAAGCACACAAACACACACATATACAACAAAGATCATGCACACATAAAAAAAGGGTTAAGATAGCACTAATATAGTAAAATCATAACTTAAAACCAGCAAACAGTAAGAAACAAAGGGGGAGACATTAGGTATGAGGCTTAAAAGTCTGGAGTCTGCAGGAACTACATTTACAATTTAGTTCTCCACACCAAGATGAAATGTAGTTTGAAAATTGATTATAAGAGGAGAATTTCCTGACTTCATTTGGCAGGGAGTTCCGGAGCTTTGCTGCCTCCTACCTGAATGATTTCATTCGATACCTTGTTGTTCTTGGTCTTGGGACCTCTGCAGTATTTGTATATCTAAAATTGTATGAATTATTTTTAAAAACAACTAGGTCTTGCAAAAAGACAGGACTTAAACCTTGGATAATTTTAAAAGTTTCTAGAGCAATGGCTCGGATTCTTCCAGTTTTCAGGGATGGTAGTTTAGATTTATGTATAAACTTTCATATGAGCTTTTGTAATCTTCATAGATAAATCTTAAAGCCCTTTCCTGAATTTTTTTAATTTTACGGGTGTTTTGCTCTGTACAGAAGTGCCATGTTAAAGGACAATAACTGAAGTTTGACATTATGAAAGAATGATATATTGTAAGTTTTCCTAACTTAGTTAAATGCTTTCGTATTCGTTTAAGAATATTTAATTGCCTTGCTGCCTTTTTACACATATTTGTAATATGTGTATCGAATGACAACCTGAAGTCAATGGTGATGCCTAGAAGCTTAACCTCATCATCACAGGGAATTTTTCAGGAAGCTTGTGTTTGAATCATTTATTTTCTCCTTCCCTATATTCTTTTAATAAGAAGTTCTTTATATTTTCTAATTCTGAATGATCAGTAACTAATATTTGTTTTTAAAATAATCAGTTTACACGTAAAATCAAACATTGCTAAATAATCATATTTTAATTTCTTTTTTTTTTTGCATTAACAGTCCAGTTGTGATGGATATCAGTACTGAGGCAGGCTGATATTACAGGTAATGTCAGACTGCTCACTAACATTGGACTGCCACAGGTAAAGATTTAAACTGCTAGAACAAAGGAATGACATCACAGCAATATTTAAACCTTGTTTAAAGTATCATGCAAATCAACAGACAAAATAAAAAATGATTCATTATCATCTAGATTTGTATACGTTTCAGATTTTTTTCAAGATGGATTTGTCATAAATGTCGGGTAACAGACTAAAATTTTGGTATATATTGGACTGTGAAACTAAAAGAATAGGACTGGTATTGTGCAATATTGGAATGGTATGTTTATATAATTGACTCTACACTCAAATTCAGTTCAGCTGTGACAATGACTATTTAAAAATGGCCAATACATTTCATACTTAATAATAAAGGGAACATTTTCTTACAAATTTCAACAACGAATTATATATGTTAAACATGAAAAGCATCAAAGGTTATGGGCTTTATGGAAATGGAATTTCGTGACGTAATTCATGGTACTTATGGAAACAATGAGATATTACATTTTTTTAAATTTCATTAGCGCCTATCTGAAAACTGTTAATACAGATCTTTTTATATTTTATTCTGTTACATGAATTGGTAAAATATATTGGCTAAGATTACATTTGAAAGATGCAATTTTCTAAGCATACCGTTAGTTTGTGATACGAGATTTCTGAATGTATTCTTTCGCATTTTTTGCAGGTTATTATACCTTTAATCTTCGAAATAAATCTATTTTTTTATATCAAGCACTTTAAAAACTTTTTTTGTGACAAGAAAATCTGAGATTGTGCCAACTTAACTGAATTTGGATGTCTGACAAGAAGAATACTGAATTAGCAAACTAGGCACTACTTCTCCATACGGATGCAATTGCAATATCAATGTCGATAGTGTGAGGAATCTTTCAAGCCCACAGTGTAGCAACGTGAACGTGATGACAATTTTAAACAAAACACAGAAATGTTCTTATATGCAAGGTTAAAAAAAAATGAAAAGTAAACATCTTTTGAGAAGAGATTTTAAGTCAATATTTTTGAATTGACACCTTTAAACTAGGGATGGCAATCGGGATTTTTTTTTTATTTTGCAACCGGTTAGTTATAATTTTATCCGACAGAATAACCAGTTAGTTGGACAGATAAGACTCGTGTGTAACTTTATTAAGAATTATTTAGTTTACATTATAATGTGTATTCTTATTAAATCTATAATGCAATTTGTTAAGTACAAGTTCCATAGTAAAATTGACAGTATTAACTTGAGCCAATGCTTGTTGGACAGGCCGTCAATGGTATTTTAATGCTGGCAGGTTTGCTAGAAATTGATTTGGGTAAATAAATTCTCTCAACCTCATTCATAAATTTACCATTCACGTCGTTTAAAGAAGGAATAAGATTATAAACATTAATTAAATTTTATACTTGTATTATCAACTGAGGAACATTTTGTTTTCAATCAACAACATTCACACCATATTCAAAGGAAATTAGACCGTTCACGGTAGCTCAGTCGGTAGTGCGCTCGCTCCGTGATCGGGAGGTCGTGAGTTCGAATCTCGGCCGCGACTGACCTAAGTCGATAAAAAAAAAAATGGGTAGCAACTGTTCCTTCGCCATGCGTTGGGCACTTCGAAGTGAAAGCTGCGGGTCCTTCGGATGAGACCTTAAAAACCGAGGCCCCGTGTCACGGCAGGCGTTGGCACGATAAAGATCCCTCACTGCTCAATGGCCCTAAGTGCCGAGTAAAGGTCAAAATTTGAAGCCCTTCACCAATATATGAGTGAAAAATTCTCAAAAGGGACGTAAACAACATACAATCAATCAATCAAAAGAAATTAGCAGCAATAAATGTTTAATCAAAATGTAACATGAAATAATTAAACAATAGAGAGGTTGAGATTTCATACGTGTACGTGTACGGGTACGTCTAGTAGGGGAATTCCCCAAATTTCTTGCGTATTACGTCGTCAGTTTTGGTGTTGATAAGTTTTCTACACGTTCCTACAACTTGTAAAAGGCATCTACACGTAGGTATAAACTTGTAGCTTTTTCAATAAAAACTAGTCAATTTATGTGTGAAACTGTTATTGTTGTTAATTATTTAGGATGTTAAGTTTCATGAACACTTATTCTAACTATGTTTTTTTCACTAACTAAAGTCAAACTAATGTCACAACACTAATAAATAAGTGAAACAGAGACACCGATAACAGTCTACACGTTCATGTTACACGTCATTAAAATCTCAACAGACAAATTACAAAAAACGTGTACGTGTACGTCAAAGTTTGTGCACACGTACACGTATGCGTACAAGTTTAAATCTCAACTTCTCTAATATATCATTAAAAAAGACGGAAAACCAGTCCAAAAATCTGGTGAATATTCATGCATTTTCTAAGTATAAAAATAAATTAACAAAGCCGTAGTTATTTTATGAGCACACAACTTAAATGCTTACAGGTTTGTTTGCAAAACTATTTATAAACACAAATCGTAGGTATTTTTAAAACGTAAAGGAAGAAAAGGAAGAAAAAAGATAACTTTAATAATTTTAAGAAAGATCATTAGGCTCTTAAATACTAGATTTCTGTAAAAATTCTTCCAGTAGATAAAAGAATCATAAACTGGTGAGCTCGCAGTGCAACTGATATTTTAACTATTATGGCATACACCTCTAAGCCTAAACAGACAAAGCTTGTTACAAAACATTAATTTTATGTAGCTTGATATAAAATCATAAAAATATAATTCATCAAATAATTTCCAAAACCTGAAAGTATCTTGTATTTGTTCATGTGATAACTTGAAAAATCATGCCATTGTTACCAAATTAAAAAAAATGAAGCATAGGTTTGTCATTGGTAGGAATATTGTTGAGTGACGATAAAATCATAAAATAATATTTAATAACAGATCGAAGCAAAAATATGTATTTTATCAAGCTTGTATTCTGCATTATAAGAAATGTGCTCCTTTACATCATTTTCTAATCGTCAAGTTGTTTCCCAAAATGAAGTGCAATATCCCACAATTGTTTCGAATACTTTTTTACTTCTTCGTCCGAGGAATTTAGATCAAGAATGCCCGGAATAATGACCACCTCCGTTTTTTCGGACATTTTTGTACACTGACGGTATTTTACATCATATTCATTGACTTTAGACACCTCCACACGTATTGACCGCCATACTCCTTCGTGAACGTTCAAGTTTATGTTCGTATAAATGTCTGTTTCTTTTTCTCTTATAAATTTGACGTTTGGATCAGTAACGACAAAACCATCATTGCTCTTCACAATGTGTGCTCCAGTATCAAAAATCCATTCGTAGCCATCCATTGCTTCAATAGCCCTTCTATTTAAAGTCCTAAATGATTGTATTTTGCACCGAACACAGGGTTGGTTTCCTGTCCGTGACTGTCTTTTCCGCATGAGAATGATATGATGTATTAACCACTTAACTTGAGGAGCATTATATTGTACAAAATTCATATGTTCATCTAGATCACACATTCCCTCATATGAAAGTCTGACTTTCAACTCTTTTTGTGTATCGACTTTAATGAAATGTCTTTCAAGAAAACTAATTAGGTTGTTTGAGTAGTCACTCATTGGGAAAAAAGAAAAAGAAAAGGGTTTGGGAATAATACCTCTTCTTACTTTAAAATTTTGCAAACGTTCGTTTAGTTCAGATACTGCCATTGTATATTTATCTACGTTCATAAAATAAAAGGTTCCGAACGACAGGACAATAGATAAATCTCCATGGAATATTGGATTATACTCATCCTTGATTTTTTCCCATTGAATGGAAAACGTTTGTTCAAAATTATTCCATTCAGGTAGTTCGGGTCCATGAACTAGGTAAGGGAGAAAACGAGTTTCATGATGGTGTTGGCTATGACAGGGTCCACTCCATACGTTAAAGTTTATCAGCTCATCATTACTCGTACAACCTTCGAATGATGCTGAAAACGTATTTTGTACGGTGGTCTGCCCACGTTTGGCAGTGGAAATGCTTGTAGATTTTGCCAAAAAGTCACAGAGAACCTTAGATAATCGCAGAAGTTGGACTTTTGTCCCATGTGCCTCTATTTTTAAAACCCGTGTTTGCCCAACATCATCGTAATGCAAATACACATCCGCTCCAGTTATTTGTTGAAATTTGAATTGCACATAAATAAAAGCATATTTTGTAATGTTCAATGACTCGGCTGAGAAAACGAAAGATTCAGAGGACTCAAAACCACCGGTATCTTCGTCATTAAGAAATTGTACAGATAAACTTTGAGAAATTTCCATGAATCCAACCAGGCTTTTAACAACTATTTCTTCTTTATTTTTGATGAGCCATTTCAGAGAAGCTGTGGGCAAATCTTTACGGTCAACAATACTTTGCATGTAAGTTCTTACATTTCTCAAACAATTAAATAAAATATTTGCCTCAGAAGACATATTAGGTATACTTCTGTCTAAAATCGATTCCTTTAAAAGTATAATGGGCAGTATGTCCTCAATGACATCATTAGGAACATTTGTTAAGATTTGTTCCCTAAAATACTCGTACAAAAATTGGGCTACATATTTTATTAAACTTTGTTCCTGCTTTAGAAAGCAAGTTAAGGATCCGCTCAATTTTATAATCATTTCATCAGCTGTCAGTCTTACAAATCCAGGCCTACCATGTGCTAGGTTGATCATATAACAAAGATTGCCTTCAAACTGATCATTTCTTACCTCAGAGGCTATGTGTCGCATGGTGGAAACAATTTTATGATAGTCCTCACTTTTGAAACCCAAAACAACTTTGCAATCCTTTGGAATAATAATGCCATTCTGAAACAAATCAATCCATTTTGAATCGGTCAGTTGGAATGTTTTTTCTTCAACTTTGTTTCGTAAAAAATTTATCCAAGAAGAAGTAATTAATCTATTTTCCTCCGTAAGTTTCCAATGCTGTTGAAGAGATGTATTAACTTTTTCAAAAGCGTCGCGTTGTTCCTGTCTATTTTTCACCTTACTTAGAACATCTGCGACGACCCAAGGAAAACTTAAGAATGGTGAATTTGACATTTTATATGTCACTGTATACCATGCACGAGCCTTTCTAAGAATTAGCTTTTCTGTTTCACAGGAAAATTTGCTTTTCTCTCCATCAAATTCTTCAAAAAATGTTTTTCTTGTTCCTTGCATTAACGATGAAACTTTCTCTCGGACTATCTTCCCTATTTGAAATTCTTCATTTTTTAAGCAACCTCTTTTACGTTTCAGTCTTTTTATCAAACCACTGATCGCTTCAAATTCGTTTTCCAATCCATAAACATTCATTATTACTTGTAACTTTTCATTGTATATTTTTCTTTGAAAATTTGCATCTTCTCGCTCTTTATCCGTCAAATTCGTCAAAGGTGAATCTAATTCATCATCAATTAGAAACTCAGAAGTTTCCTGTCTTTTAATGTTATTAAGAAATGATTGGCACTGATGGTAAAGTTTTCCAAGAATTTTGGAAGAGATATACTGGATTTTATCACTTTTCATCATAAAATCTGGATATTTTTCGGGACAGATATCTTTACCAATGCGTGGACATTTTCCAGTTTTTGGAAAATCAACAGCTTCGGAGTGGAGTTTGGCTAATTCTAGACAATGAGATGAAAATACACCTTCCTCTTCACTATCTGCTAAAGCAAGATGAGCATTAGCTATTATTCCTAAGTTGTCGTTCTTTATGTAATTTGCTAAAAAATCAACGATATCCTTCAATCGAACATCCGATACCAATTTAGTCTTTTCTGCTTTAGGGAAGTCCATTGGATTTTCATTTTCAAAAGTGTAAAGTCGCTCGTCCCAGCATACGAAATATTCGTCACCATCAAGATCTGATCCAGACATTTCGTCAGGATGAGGTCTGGGTCCAAGCTGAGGAAAAACAACGCAATCCACCATATGTCCAAGATAAGGATTTTTCACGGCTTCGAAAATCCGGATATCCCCAGGATAGAAGCAAGGGTTTTTCGTAATGATAACTTTACCTAGAACAATCTGAAGATCTTTTCGAGGTCGACTAAGTTCTTTCGAGTACTGAATAAATACTTGTCCATACTGCAGTGATTGAGTTTCATCTGATGTACCCATCATATATCGACCTTTGTCCAAAGGTATTTGAATCCTTGACCTCATTTTCATATCATATAATCTCTGTTGGAACATGCCTAAAAGAAGTGACCTAAAGAAAGGTTCCCGAACAAAGCTTACTCCTTTGTTAGACAGTTCCTGAAAATTAATGTCTAACGCTACCTGCAAAAAATTGAAAAGAACTGCTCACGATTAATGTTCAGTGACTTTCAGATAAGAGAGATAACTATCACAATGACAAACGACTATTATTCCTTAAGTTTACGGAACTGTCAAATTAAATAAAAGACCTGTACCATAATTGTCAAATCTTGTCCTAAAAGATATTTTGGTATTGTGAGAATTAAATTTCTCCTGAAATATCAGCAGCATTAAAACAAAATTTAAAATTTTATATGAGTGAAGAGAGGAACATTAAACATCTTTCCTTGATATAGTGTATTCTTCATACCTAAAGCACATACCTGAGTGTATTTAGGGGAATAATTTTGACAATTCCCTTCATAAGAAAAGGTAATGTCACAAATTAATTATAAAAAACCCTTTCATATAAACTTTAAAATGGGTACTATGTATTATAGCGAGCGCAGCGAGCAGCGCCGCTCGTCACTGCGAGCTCTTAAAGCAACGCCTGGGGGAAGAGAAAATTCGGACTTTGCACATTGATCCAAATGAATTTTTTTCCGCAGTTACCTGTGTGGTCCCATAATGCTTAGCGAATTGCATCTCGTTGCAAATTACGTTCTCGCGGTAGCAACAAAAATTCGTCAAAAAATAAAATCACCTTGATTTAATGGATATATAGCAGATAAATACTAGATTAAACGTTCTTGATTAAAATTAGCACTGACCAGACTCCGTTTTGGTAATGCAACATACATACGACGTCATATGACGTCAGAGTCTAGACGTAGCAAATGTCACGTGCAGTTTGACGAGCCCGATCTAAGTTAAAACTGAAAGGTATCTGCGCTCGCCCTAACGGTCGCACCGTCAACATATTAAATTGAGAAAGATTATATATTTCACCTGTTGTATTCTTTGCAGGGCTTTCATATCGTATAGTAGCATATCCGACAAGTCAACCAACATTTTTTCTTGAAGATCGAGGAATATTTCATCAGGAATTCCTAGTCCTGATAGCAACGTTATAATTTGACGGTTCAGATGAAGTCGCCCTGTCAATAAATTATAATTCAAGGTAAATGAGCGGTGTTCTGAAAGTTTGCAGACGCGCACAATTATATATATATATATATATATATATATATATATATATATATATATATATATATATATATATATATATATATAACAATCTGAAATTCATAATAAAAATACTTTAATTAACTATATAATAGTAAAAACTTTTTAATTAATATAGTAAAAATTTTGATACTCTAGTACATTATAGCTATATTTAATTATAGTAAACTATAGTTTACTATAGTACATTTTTTGTTAGGGAAAACACAGACCCCCCGGAAATTCCAGAGGTAGAATAAGGTGCCTAGGAGGAGTAAACATCCCCGGTTGTATATCACGAAGGCGAAACATTCCGTAGTCAAATTAAGTATAAAAACAAAGGCCTAACAATTGGTTCTGTAAGAAATCATACATTGTTATGAAGTGTAAATATGTATTTATCATTGGGCACATTTTTGCCAAATATGAAGACTTTCAAAATAAACTAATCTTTTTTTCTATAATTTGAATGATAAATAAGTTGAATATATGAAAACATACTTTTTTGACTTTCACTTCAAATTGCGATTTTCAAACCATTGTTTCAAAGAACTTTCCGAACAACCGTAGTATTTTTTTGATATTCATTGCAATTTCCATAATAAACATAATGCATGCGAGTTGTTTATAGCTATTTTTTGTATTCAAAGACATATCTAATCTGTCATAACTAATAAAGAAGGTTATACATGTATGAATGATTAAAGGTTTTTTTTTTTTCATTTGACACCTGCCTTTAATGCTGTATGGACTAAAATAGGGCATTAGAGAAAGAATTTCAGAATTACTTCCTTCAAGTTATAAAACACTGTTTAAAGTACTTATTCCTGATATTCAAAAACTTAGGCAAAATACCTGGACGAGTAACTTCTAACACCTCTAGACCTGTGGAATTAGATTGGAATTTTCTCATACTTTCACGTAGGACGAGTACGTCCTTCTCTCCAAGAGACGGATCTTGTGCAACAACGCCTTTACAACCACCAAAGCGAATTTGGAAAGCAGAAGGTACGTATGGCAGATTCATTGCCTCTGCAACCTAAAATGGAGTTACAAAAGATAAACATTCTTTTTTTCTTATCTTAGAATAAAACCTGAATAATTTTTCCACTGAAGCGGAATATAACCTTTGAAGCAAGGCTTTGTGATATCTTCCCAATGCCGTCTGTGAAGCAATAACCGTTTCTTTCTATATCGGTTTCATATTGTACTTCTTGATTCATCCCGACATCCATCGTATGACGAGACGCAGAAAAACACAGTCCAAAACGTGACACATACGAGGCAACACATCTTTCCTTAGATAGATCTCCAGCACTTTGTCTGATACTTTCTGCCGTAATTCCATTATAAGAGCTGAAGAACCAAAAGCTGTGTTCTCGAAGTTGACTGTTGGAACATCCCAAAAATTCGTATTTGCGGTCATGAATTTTAAATCCTTTCAAAAAAATTTGCTTCATGTCCTCCAATACGTTGTGCAGTGTAACAGATGGCACCTTAGTGAGTTTTTGGTAATCCTCATCTCGATAAACAAGACGTATAAAATAATCCTCATCATATTGGCGTAAAATTCTATTCTGACTCACTAATTCTTTTGGAAGGAAAACACATTTCGTAGGAGTTAGAAGTGCTCGTCTAACAATTGTTAAATTACTAGATGTGTTATTTTTATTTTCATAACTAGTATATTTGGCCATTTCAATTGCCTCATCCAATTCACTCATGAAATGAAAGAATGGTTTTTCTGCAACAAGGTCAACCATATTGGAAAATACTTGTGCAGGGTCTTTGATTCTGAATATTTTCTCTACAAGAGTTGCTGTTATATGATCAGTAACTTTAAATCCCTGTGAACGCAGTGATGTCCATGCATAAACCGTGTTATATTCTGTAAAAGGGGCCACTGCCTCTTGCTTTGGAAAATTGACTTTCACATTAGCATATGCAACAAAGAGACCTATATACTGTATGTACCAAATTATCCTGGATACCAAAGGGCTGTCTTTTTTCAGTTTCAGACAAAAGCAGCCCAAGCAGCCAAACTTTTGAAATGGAAGGTCACTGGCTGATAGTCTTGTTTGTGCTATATCATTTAAGTACGGCTCCTCAGCTGCGTATAATTTTGGACTATATTTTACATTAAAGTAAAGGAATGTGTCATTATTTTGTAAATCTATTATAACATAATCGTGCAAGAAATCAGAAGAAATTTTGATTTCAAATTTCATTGCTGCATCTTTAACAAGCAACTGAGATTTATCTTGTTGAAATTCTGCAGTCACTATTGTTTCCCAGTGCTTCACAAAACTAGATGGCGAAATCATGCTTCCACCAACAAATTCAATGTATCCTTCAATTTGTCTGTCTGGATGTTGAGGCATGTAGGTCAGCCTTTTATTTGGAATGATCTGTATCCACGACATATCATCCTCGAGTGTTCTAATCCTCTCCCAAAATTCGCATAGGTTGCACACTAGTGCCTCACCTAGGGTTGATTCAATTACCATCGACAAGGTGATGCTGTTGTCAGCAAATTTCCGCATATCATCTGAAAATAAGTATTTTTTCAATACAAATTTGAAATATTGCTTTTGCGAATCCGAATCGCTTACATGTAATATACATGTCATAGCCTAACTTACAATGTAGATTAGGATAGGTTGTCGAAAATTTCTGTTTCACGGCATAAAATAATATAATTTTACCATTTACTGGTAAATATCACATCAAACCTGTTGAAGATCTTTTTTTTTGCTTTTCCTCTGAAAATGGTGTATAAAACGAAATTCATTGTTTTTTTACTGTTCTTTGTACTCTTAAGATAAGTCAAACCGTTTTGAAAACACTTGATTTAATCAAATGCTGGCATGGTCAATTGTGGATGTACTTGGTATGCTAATATTGAGTTATCCTCACCAGGTTGCAAAGTATTTGTATTTTTCTTTTATGCATAGACATGTACAGATATTTCAGGAAATAAAACTGAATGGTATTTCAATGATGCATATTTATATAGTCATATATATTTCCATATATATATCTCATAAGATACACTGCTGAACGTAGCACACATGGTGATTACCTGTGCTTACATGCACATATTTTTGTTATTTATATTTCCGTGTTTTAACCCTGTGCTCTTTTTCTTTTTATGTATTGAATATATCTATTCAATCAGAATTAACATAAAATAGGAGGTGCACAATGACACTCTGTTATAAAGATTCTGTGAAAGTTTCATACATTTTATACCTACAATATTATAGGAAAAATGGAAATGACAATATTTTGTCATGGAAACCCCAAATATTTGTCCGATCAAAGCGTAAAATAGGGGGTTCTCGATGACACTATATAAATAGAAATTCTGTGTTTTATTTAGCGGTACATGCATTTGAGGAGTTGTAGATTAATGATCGATGAGTAGCCCCCAATATTATAGAGAGAATGACAGTGTCTATTTTTACTATGGAAAACCCTAAATATGTGACCAATTGAAGCCTAACTAGTATGTAATAGATTATGCGAAGAGGAGTTGCAGAAAAGAGATGGGTACGCCCAACTATAACAGACGAGACATACGGACATATGGAGGCACAACCCCATCACTAAATACCCAAAGATTTCAAACGGGAGTACATGTACATATATTAAAAGGAGAACAGGAACTTCATACTACTATAGCCATGGTTTAATGTGTATTATTTTTTATTATAAAGCCTAAAAATGCTTTTAGGATTTGGAATTTATTACATTTGAAATTTAATATCATGTAGGGCTTAGAAATTGTAAAATTCAGACTTCAATTTTAGTTACGAAACGCGGGCTTATGTAAACAACACATATTTTTGTAAGTATATAACGCTGTAATCAACAATATAAGAAATGGGTTAATTATATTTAAACTAAGTATAATTTGCAAGAAAATCACAGGTGTTTATATGATACGAAAAGCAGTCTGCAGTGAATTTTATTATGTTCTATATTCTGATTTTTACATCAATTAAGGGGCCAGATTCGGCCGATACCATACCTTGCCCTTTATCTTCCAGCAGATATTTACAATGTGTTCAAAGTCAAAAATGCAAAATCCAAATTTTTTTTTTTATCAAAGATTTATACTCGTGGTATCGTTTTTTTTTTTTAATTTCAATCGTTTTTAATTTTAAAAAATAAAAAAAAAAATTAGTGCCAGTTTGCGTATATTAGAGGTGGTATGGAGTCCTGTCCCTTGGCATCTGCGCAAATAAACGTTCAACTTTGGAGCATTTTTTTAATTAAAAACTTATTCCCAGGCATCGGTAACGATGTTCACTAAGAGACGAATGAACACATGTATATATATAAATAATAAAAAGATAACTTACTTATCTTTTTCTTTTCTTGAATGACCTTGATTGTCCTTGGTAACTTCTTAATAAATGTATGCACCGACTCCTCGTTTTTTAGATAAAAAATATTCAATCTAAATCGTTCTTTCCTCCCAGAAGTATCCCTGCTATCTATAAACTCCGCCATTTTGAGCAAATATTTTTTCTCGTTTTCAGTCAAAAGATTTTGGTAAATGGCATTCACGTCACGATCCTTGTTCCCATTATCATGAATTTGAAACAAGAAACCTAAACCTCAAATGATCGTAAGCAATAACCATGTCGATAATTAGGAATTTAAAGGGAGTCCTGACAGCACAATGTATCTTATCAAAGGCTAAATTGGCAATGCCTTTTAATTTGTAATGTATACTTACATGTATGTACGTTCATATAATGATAAGTATAGTCACAGTTAATTTTGATCGCTAGCTGTAGATATATTTGTATGTCACTGATTTAAAAAAAAAGAAGCAAATCAGATAAACATTAATTTATATGCAATCGCGTGATTGTACAATTTTTGGCCCTGTATATATATGACCAGCCATGAGATTTTGGGTCCAAATGAGGAATTTTTCAAAAGTGACATTTTTACTTAATATTGTAGTTTTGAGGTCCAAAATTACTAAGATGAAGTTTTACCCCCATATGTATATGACGTAATAATCGGATTAATCAGACAATCGACACTTGGATTAATAAAGACCATGTGTTGTTTTCATGCAATACGTCACTATTTTGCGATAGAGTTTCTTTAGAAGTTATGATTTTGGGTAATTTCATAATCAAATATCCACGAGACAGATTGCTTTTTGTTCAACATGCATATATATAGTACAGATCTATAGGGGTGTGGGGTGGGTGGTATTGGGGGTGGATTCTCTACCCCAAACCCCTACCAAATTAAACACACCCCCACCAAATTAAACACACACACACACACACACACACACACACACACACAAATATGAACATTTAAAAAAAAATATTTAGACACATTTTTCTTTCCCTTTACTTACTTGACATCAGATAAATTTCAGACTGGATTTTTTTTGGAGTGAGTTTGACCCCCCCCCCCCCCCCAAGGACTATAAACAAATGCAATACATCATTATTTTGTGACGCACATCCATAAATTTCTTTAGAATTAGAAAAGTTTTTCTTCGCTCATTTTATTTGTGTCAGAATTTTCTTTCCAAAAAAAAAAAAAAAAAACCTGTATCAACTCACAATGGAATTAACTGTAGAATGAAATTAACTGTACATTGTAAAATATACAATTATATGAAATGTCATAAGTTTAATTTGGAACAGTTGGTTTGGGGCAACTTTCCTAAATCGCTTCATAAGGAACAACTTGTTTGAAAAAGGTGACATTATACTGTTTGCATGTACGCCCTTAAGAGGAAGGCAGAGCTATGGCGTCTACCTAAGCTCCAGATTTTAATTTTAGGAGGTGCATTGTCCCACTTGGACTGCATACTCCTGTAGGGTGTGTACCAGGATGACCTTTGTCTATTCTGAAATATTTGAAACCAAAAAAGTATTTGAATGTATTTAATGTGGTCCAAACTGACGAATTCTATTCACTTTTATATTTATAGAGTCAGTTGATATGTCCCAGTCGAATTATGCATGTACTTTAAGCCTTGGTTGAATTCACATTCAGGAGATCATTTTTTTAAACAATAGGATAAAGATTAGCTAAGTTCTAAATTAAAAAAATATAGTATAAACATAGATATTGCTGGCGACTTATAACTTTATCAATATGACAGATGATTTAAAATGTGTGACTCCAATGTGATCTAAATAGCATGTATATCCAGGGTTCTCCATGAGCTGTTTTACTGTGTCGGCCCCGAAACAGTAAAATTTCCCCCGACACAGTAACGATTAAATTTTATGCGTGCGACACAGTAAAACTTTTGCGACACAGAAAGATCTGTGATAATTAGAAAATCAGAGCATAAATTCTCTCTAACTGTGCTATTGTAAATGCTATTGTAAATAAAATGAGTTGCGAATTTGATCGCGAAAATATGCCAGTCTGGGTTACACTTTGTATGACCAGGATTCATCATAAAAAAAACTCAACTGACTTAATTATATAAACCAAGCGCTACTCTCTAAAGACCATATCTGTTACAACAAATATCATAAAAACTAAAATAATAGTATCTATCAAACCCGTTTCTTTAATATGTAGGCAAAATTGAGATGTAACTTTAAGCAGTTTATTAAAAAGTTTTTATAAATGGCAAAATATGATAAAGTTTCATTCCAATTCTTTCAAAATTACACTTAGAATTTTATAATCTATTTTTTGTAATATTTAACCATAGTTGACTGTATTCATCTTTTTATGGCCACTGTAGTTACCCATCTCATAAGGAGATGGTGAACAAGGCGTGCAGAATGCCTATAGCTTCAGATATATAAAAATCATAATCAACATTTGTGAAGTTAATATTTAGAGTAAAGTTCTCATTATTGAAATTAATGAAATTATGATTAAAAAAAAACTTTTCTGATTAAAATTTTATCGGCAAAAATTATTCTGTTATTAAAAAAATAATAATGTGGTATTCATTGGTTTCGACCCTAGCAATAAAAATCCTGAGTTTCATTTTCCTTTGAGACTAACACGCTAACCACTACGCTACACAGCTCTTGAAGAATTATCATGGCATTTAAATCATGTTTATTTCTGCCCCTTGTGTGCAAGTTATTTTTTCTATCAAATATGTCGACATGCAAGATAAATATGTTGACATGCAAGATAGTTATGTCAACATGCAACATGACTATGTTGACATGCAAGAAAAATGCAATCAAATAAAAATTATAAAAAATCTTCAAAAATCTCAAATATCGCCAACATGTGACATCCAACATGTTAGATGCTACTTATTAATGTTAACATGCAACTTATTTATGTTAACATGCAAGATAAATATATTGACATGCAACATATTTATGTCGACATGCAACTTATTTATGTTGACATGCAATTTATTCATGCTGACATGCAACTTAGTTATGTTGACATGCGAGATAAGTATGTTGACATGCAACTTATTTATGTTGACATGCAACTTATTTATGCTGACATGCAACTTAGTTATGTTGACATGCGAGATAAGTATGTTGACATGCAACTTATTTATGTCGACATGCAACTTATTTATGTTTACATGCAACTTAGTTATGTTGACATGCGAGATAAGTATGTTGACATGTAACTTATTTATGTTGACATGCAACTTATTTATGCTGACATGCAACTTAGTTATGTTGACATGCGAGATAAGTATGTTGACATGCAACTTATTTATGTTGACATGCAAGATGAATATGTTGACATGCAACTTATTTATGTAAACATCAAACATATTTATGTCGACATGCAACTTATTTTTGATGGCATGCTGTTTGCTTGAAAGAGGGTATAGTTTAATCAAAATCTGTAGTTGCAGTAAATGAGAAGCTTAACCTGGTCTCTACACAACTGACAAGGTAAAACTTTATTTTAGATCTGATATAAAACTGATATTGGATGCAATGAAGATCTTTTGGTTAATTAATCTGGTCTTTTGTATAATCCTTACTGATAATAATTCTTGGTGTCAATATCTCTTTTGGTCAGAGTGTCCAGTTCTTAAATGATATGTGTACTTCATGTAGCTATTATTTGATCAAACATAGTACTTTTAGTACTTCACTATCTTCAGTGGCGGATCCAGGAATCTTAAGCTTGAAAAGGGGGGGGGGGGGCCCGACCAGTTTATGGTGGGGGTAGGGGCCCACGACTACACCAAAAAAATTGATTTATTAAGTCTTATGTTTATTTCGGACACAAAAAGGGGAGCCCGGGCCCCCTGCCCCCCTCTAAATCCGCCAGTGCTATCTTACATAAGTTTAATTGAATTGCAAATTTTATATACTAAACTCTTACAAGCCAAATCGTGGTGTATTTATAGAATGATTTAGTTTGATATACATTTACACATGTAGAGAGCAAAACAAAAATTCATTGTGTATAAAGTATTTTTTTCCCATTTTTTCTCAGCGACAAAAATACTATGGGTGAAAATATCTATACACCTGCTCTGGCTCAACGTCTGGTTGTGGACGGACTATCTCTCAGTAGGAATGAAATGATTGCTGTTTATTACCACTCTGGTTATACTATTCAGGAAATCATTGGATTTCTTGCGAGCAAACATAACATTGCTCTTAGTGCAAGACAAATTCATCGAGTTTTAAGGGAAATGAATCTGACGAGACGAAACAACCAGCCACGTTTGGAGGACATTGTAACGGCTATTCTACATGAACTTTCAGGCTCGGGCGGTGACATAGGCTATAAAGGAATGAGGAGACGTCTGCTAATCGACCATAACCTCAATGTGTCTTGTGAATTGGTGCGCCTTGCATTAACTGTTATGGACGCAGAAGGTGTAATAAGGCGTAGACAACGTCGTCTTCAGCGTAGAAGGTACATTAACGAAGGGCCTAATTTTTGTGTTCATATAGATGGCTGGGACAAGTTAAAACCATTCGAATTTTCCATTCATGGCTGTGTAGATGGCTTTTCAAGACGTATTCTCTGGCTCAGAGCTTGCAATTCTAACAAAAACCCTGAGTATATATCCAGATTTTATATGGATTATATCAAAGAAATAAACGGGGTTCCTGTAGTCGTATACACAGACAGGGGTACTGAGAACTCCATAGTTCGAGATTTGCAATACGCTTTGCGATGGAATCACCAGGATTCCTTGCAAGGACTATCAAGTTTTAGGTATGGATCGTCATATAGAAATACAAGAATAGAGCGATTTTGGCGGTGTTTACGAGAAATGTGTGGCAATTTTTGGATAAATTACTTTAAGGATGTGGATAATTTAGGTGTTTTTGACACCTCCGACATAGTCCACCTGGAGTGTGCTAGGTATTGATTCTTACCAATTATCAGCAGAGAAGTGAACAGAGTTATACAGCATTGGAATTAACACACAATTAGAAGAAACCGCAATAAAGATTGTCCGTCTGGAAAACCAAATGTTATGTATTTTCAGCCCGAAATTTACCAAACAAGAGATTTCAAAATGCCTGTACCTGATAATCTGAATGGCATAG